CGCATCCCGGTAAGGACACCCGGGATCTTTCTGTGTGGAGTTTCCACGTTCTCCCCGTGCAGCGTGGGTTCTCTCCGGGTTCTCTGGCTTCCTTCCACAAGGTCCAAAAACATGTTGAGGTTAATTGGTGATTCTAAATTGTCTGTGGGTGTGAATGTGAGTGTGCTTGGTTGTCTGTCTCTAAGTGTAGCCCTGTGATAGACTGGTGACCTGTCCAGGGTGTCCCCTGCCTTCACCCTGAGTCAGCTGGGATAGAGTCCAGCCCCCTGCGACCCTAGTGAGGATTAAGCGGTGTATTGGTAATGGATGGATGGATGGCCAGATGTGAACACATACAAGGACTTTTACTCAGTTACAATTTTTTTGTTCCCTGTCAGTGAACTTACACCTTTCAGATTCTTCATGACACATTCGTCTGGATAAACATGGATGCAAACTGTATATTGATTGGTTGGCGGAGGCATACAACTACAAAGCTGTAATTCTAGCTTCTCGAGTAAATTCTAATTGTGAGTGACAACTATTGATGTTGTTGATTAATGCTTCATCGAATATTTGCCAGTAATTTACCCAATTAGCAACATAATAACTGATAAGGTAGAAGACAAAGGACATGTCATTGTACATTAACCGACGTCACTCAGGCAGCTCCGTGTTAGCCAGCAGAGAATATTGTGGAGGTTTAGCTGGTAAAGGGCCACAAGGACGAAGTCTTCTGTAACGTTTAATGGCTGTTGTACGTTTAGATCAGCTGAAATGTGCTTGGGCCACGTCCTTTTTGCCAATGAGCAATCTAACTAAGCTGTTAAAGCCCAATATCTCATACAGTTTGTGTTGACGAGTAATTGAGTGTTGACTGATATGGCTACGGTGAAGAAAACTTTTTCAAATTTGCTTCCTAAGTGACGACTGTTATGTTTATACGATATTGTAGCTGAAAGTCAACTGCATACTGGCAAAATATATATTTCACCATTTAAACTAAAGGAAATCTCACACACAGTCAACCCAACACAACAGCAAAAAAATGAAATCTTTTCATACTTTTAAGCCCTGTAATGTGACATCAGGAAACTACTCATCTACGTAAAGAGATTTAAATTGTTGATTTATCATTTGAGACTTGACTTTCTCTCTTCCTCTCCGTCCCTGCGTCCTCTCTCTCTTTGGTATGTTGCCCAATTAGTGCAGTTTGTTCAGAGTTTGTCCTGAGTCCTTGTCAATCAAATGACCATGAGTCTTTGACAAGAAGGTCTTAGCGTCCTTCCCAGTGGACTTGGGTCAGCGAGTTCATGGTTTGAAAGCAAACGGGCCAATGACAGGGGTTTACGTAGAAAGTGTGTAAGTGCAATTTTATCACAATTTCGACAGGCTGGAACAACCTGCCTTTGATTTGCAGTGTAAATGTGCTAGTGATGGTTGTTATCATCGAGCGATTTGTGATACGAGTAAACACACGAATAAGAAGCAGTGCTGTGTTGTCAGTCATGATCACAGCGCTCGTAAAAGCCTGTGTGAACACGATCTGCTGGTGTGGACCGAATGAACTAGACTACAGGTTTGTTGCCACATACTGGTCATTCTTGACCTCAGACAGGACACGACAAAACACTTTGAACTCAAGGTCCACATCTGAGCTTTGACTATGCAGGTATGTTCTGTCAGCTGCTGTTTCCAAAGTTCAGAACCAACTATTAAGCTAAAGAGCTCAACATCACAGAAAGCTCAAAAACACTTACAAATGAGTGAGTAGACCTATCCATCGAGTCTGCTTTGGTTAACAAACCTTCTTTGGTCACAGAGCATGAGTTTGACATTTCTGGGGTAGGATCGTTCTCTCTGTTGTAGCCCCATAATTTACGCTGATCTCCAGCGTGGAGACTGAAACCTTTACTTGGCTGCTTACACTGATGTGGTGTCTCCTGGTCCAAAGCTCAAAATGAATGTGATTAAGTCACCTTAGCACAGGAAGCCCTTTAAGGAATGATAAACATTTTTCTCACACAACAGCCTGTAACCATCAAGAGGTTTAACTGTTGTAAAGATTTACAGTGGCTGCATTAAAGTGAATGTGGAATCTCTGACAAACTGTAAATTAGTCCTGATAATGTCACCCAGCTCCGGCCTGTTATTGTGTCTAGCTGTCAGAGACTGTAGCTCTTACTGCCCGTATGTTTTGTTCCCGTTTACGTTCATAACTCAGTGTGATTTAGTGAGCTTGTCTCTGAGTGGTATGAGCTGGTAGGGAGACAAACATCACCGTCCACCTGCTTAGACTTAACTAGCCGTACCCGAAATACACTCCTGTTACTGGGGATGAGGCCACGCTTTAGCCGTGAAGGTGCTTTGTAGCTTTGTAGTTTATCTGAACTTTTTTTAACATTAGCTGTATTTAATTTGATTTAAGATAAACATAAAGATTTTTTTTCTCTCTTTTTTGATATTTTGAAGCTCACCTTCAAATCTTAAAGTTCTCCCTCAAAGTTGAATTCTGCTCAATTTTGCTGTAGAAGAATATAAACTGCAATGATTCTGCAGCTGACATGGATTCCTCCATTTTTCATAATGGATTTTTGGCAACATTTGAAGCGACAGTGTTAAAGTGGTGAGCATTTAAAAAATAAATAAAAATAAAAAAAAAGTGTTGAGCATTCGTATTATTAAAAAAAAAATCGAAAGACTTCAGAATTTTATTTTAAGTGCTCTGAATATTTTTTCTTTCCTGCCTTGGACAGTAGCATTGGTTTCTGCCTCTGTACATTAAGAGTCAGTTAATAGGAAGATTATTTTATTTTATTTTATTTTATTTTATTTTATTTTATTTTATTTTATTTTATTTTTATTTTATTTTTATTTTATTTTTGTTTTGTTTTGTTTTGTTTTGTTTTATTTTAAATAATCCATCATTTTTTCTGGCTCTTTCTGTATAATTTTATTTTATATCTCTGTTTGAGTCTCCTTGTGTTGTTTTATGTCTCCTTGGGGTTGTTCTGAATCTTCATTCATGCACTCATAGATTGCTTAGTCTATGAAATGTCAGAATAATGATGAAATGTCCTCCTCAATGTTTCCAACAATCCAGACCTAAAAGATATTTTGTTTCTCAGAAAGCAGCATTTTTTTTTCAGTATTTTACCTGAATGAAATTACCTTAAACTTAAAGTTCTTAGGGACAGTAAATATGACTTGTTTGTGACATACATTAAGTTGTGAGTGTTGCCGAAGTGCCTGCTCAAAGGGAATCATTTAGGTTTTTGGGGTATTTTAGGGTCTTGACCTTACGATGTGAAGTGCCCCTGAGACGACTTGCTTTGTGAACTGGTGCGATATTAAAAAAAAAGAAAAAACAAAACTGAATTGAATTCAAATTGAAGCGAAGTGTCTTCCACGCCTGCTTTTCCTCTGGTCTGGTACCACTTGAAAAATTGAAAATACCATCAGTATTTTGTGTTGGGATTCTTCTTGCGCTGTTATGAAATACGAAGGGGAAAAAAGTATGTGGAAAACAAAACCGGTGGTTGGCACAACTTTTCGATCCATAGTTTTGCTATGTAGAGCTCAGCAGTGTGGTAACTGGCCAGAACAAGCTAATGAAATAACTTCATTAGGGGCCACATGAAGTGAGCAAAAGAAGCAGAACATTATACCCAGAAGGAGGTCCCTGTTTCTTTTTAACACAGCTCTGAGGTTTTGAACAATGTTGCATAACAGCATCTGTATGGTGTTAAACATTTTTAGGGTGTCTGCAAGTCCAGGAAAGCTCATGCAGGATCTGAAATTATTGTAAGACCTTAAATGATCTTGAACACCATAATTTTTGCATATAAGCAGCTACTTTGTTGTCATTTAGGTGACTGCCAACTTCAAGTATCGCCTACAGATCCAGAAGCTTGACCCGTACAATGCTTGAATGCCGGAGCTACATTGAGATGTTGTTTTTAGCTTTTACTTTGTACTTTAAATAACCTCCTCGTCCAGTCTGGGAGGCGACTGGCTGTGTTTCCACCCCTCAGATGGTAAATCTTGGTGTGAAAAAGGTCAGCCCAGGATGAAAGAGGTCAGAGTCTCCCAGCTGCACGTAGCCTATTGAATTTACTCATCACAAGACCTTAAATTCAGCAGTTATGTGGAAGACCTAAGGGAAATGGGCTCCGTTAGAGAGCACTTCCAGTGGGAGACTGTGCCAGGCCAACCTAATAATGCTCTTAGAGATTCAAATCTGGGTGGGAATGCAACTAAGCATGGGTTACATTTAAAAGGACTGGATGGTAGGAGGACAGGATCGTTGAGTCGTGATCAAGTCAGGCATGATGACAAGATCGCGACACGTTGATCTTACAGAGTCAGGAGTTTAAGCTGACTGTTGCCAAGGTCATTCAGTCACATGAAATATAGCTTTATGTAACAAATGGGACTGTTTCAGGACCTCCAAAATAAAACTTGAAGCTGCGTATGACAGATTTGAGACACCATAGTTGTTCACTGCACCTCCCAGCAAGAAGGTTAGAAAAGAAGAAAAAAAGGAGAGGAACCCTTCAAGCTTGAGTCCTGGACAAACTTCCATCCACACAGCACGGGTGGCAGAAGCAGCCAAAACTGAAAGTCTACGTGCGTGGTCGCCATTTTCAGAGTGCAGATGAAGTCATCCATGCTGTTGAAGAGTATCTGGAGATTTAAGATGTGACCTTATTCTTAAATGAAGAAACAGTGAAGCTTGAACATTGGTGGAATAAATGCATTGAAGTTAAAGGAGACTAATGCAAAAACAATCTTACTCTTGTGATGTTTTCTGGCCAAGAGCTTTTTGAAGTACCCTGTGTAGAACTGTGTGTGAGTGATTGTCTTTGTGTGTCAGCCCTGTGATGGACTACAACTGGTCATTATGGATGAATGACCGGATGGAATACCATTGAACATGTCAGACTACTTATGCAGCAACTGGTTGCAGACTCATCCACTGTGCTAACTTGAAGCCGTTGTGTTGTTTTTGTGAATTTCAGGTGGCTTGATGTGAGCGTAGCCAACCTGACATGTACCAGGTACTGGGTGGTGTACCTGCAGGTCATCCAGGAGGCAGTGTGGCCAGGAGGAGCTCTTCCTACTGCCCCTCAACTTGAACGTAGCCAAGAGCAGAAGCACAACACCAAGCAGCAAGCCTTACAATATCTGATGAGACTTCTTCCAGGTATGTTTACACACAACCACATTTTATACGCTCTAATATAGGTATCAGCCTTAAAATTCAAATTTTTTTGTTCTAAATTATGCTTTGATTCAGTCAATTAGTCTGTCAGATTGCTGAAAAGAAAAAGGGATACCCACAACAAATATCCAGTAACACACTGTGACACCGTCTCTATGTCCTTGTTTCTTTAGATCTTGTTTCAGACATGTTGGGCTCTGAGAAGTACAAACTCAGCTGGCAGACTGCACTGGACTCTTTTCAAGACCCCTACATTAACAGGTGAATCTCAGCTACACTTCAACAGCTCCTTATTCACCGTCACTTGTAGTTTGTTTTATCAGCAACACATGCAACAGAGTGCCCAGAGCTAAAACGATGTTCCATATAATTTCAGATTTTTGCCTGATGTTCATCATGTGTAGTTGTTGTAGTATCAAAAGTAATTCATTAATTCTGCAGCTCGGCCGCGAGGTGGTGTGAACATTCACAGGAAGGGCCCTTACTGTTTCCATTGCATCTTCAAGCAACAGCTTCAAGCACAACATTAACTTTGAGTGCACCAAAACAACACTGAATAGCAGTTACTGGACTTAACTCCAGTTCTATGAGCATGTAGGAAAAGAACATTTGATGTTGTTGGTGGTGATGTTAGAGAGAACCCTGCTACTTGAAGAGGATAATTGAGAGAGCAGAACAAATGGAACTTGTTGTCCTGGCTGAGTTACGCCAGTCAGTGTGTGTTTTCTAGGAGTTTAAACAATCAGCAGGTAGATCTCCACAGCAGTTGCTTCGAGCCCGTCAGAAGTACCTACGCTGGAATCGAAGCTTTTTTCTCCGTCCCTAAAAAAGGTCCTGCAGTCGTAACATTCACAAAGTTGCGGGCCATCCTAAAACAGTCTGCAAGTCCTTGGGTGGATCTTTTCTCCTAGTTTTTAAATGTTAGTACAAATTCATCTTACGCTAGTACATACTGTTTCTATAAATTCGCCACATGCTCACTTTCCAAAGTCCAACATGACAAAAGTTCTTGCCTTCTCCTACCTACTCTGCCTTCTCATTTTACCTAACTTACTTCCAGCTTTGTAAATAAAGAAGATACAGCTTTGAGTTCAGCTTCAATCAGTGTGAGAGGTGACTTACTCGTCTGTCTTTTCCTCTTTAACTAGGGCTTACTGTCGTTGTGTGGTCAGTGGTGCGACCATTCAGGACTGAAAACCTGTACAAACCCAAATGCTTAACTCGTACAGACTCGCAGCTCTTTAAACATCTTGTTCATGTTACACTGCAGCCTGTGCACCCAAGGATACCAAACACACTGATCCGGAGCTTGTAATTTGCCAAATACATGCATTTGATTGTTCAGACAGTGCACTATGTTCGCATTACCCTGTGAATATTACTCCTGGTTTGTGCTACTTGTGTGCTGTGGAGACACTCACTGCTGCAGTTTGAGTAAGTTACACAATTCTTAGTGCGTTTTATTGTTACTAATTGTTTTCCATTTTGTGTAAGTACAGAAAGTATTTATACGCTTTTATCATTTTTTGTTTTTCAAATATTGTCTACAAACTGTACCAAAGGAAAAGAAAGGCCGCAGGTTTTGTTCTCCAAAGCATAATGGAGTTTGTAGTAGGGCTGGACCAGAATAGCCGAATCGCCGACTATTTGTTTGTTGTGCTGGGATTGGGATATCAATTTTCATCTCTGAATATCCCCCCCCCTTCGGCTGCTGCCACAGAAACGGTACTGTGACCGCTAAGCTAAACACATAAACTGGTCTTAGTAGCCAAAAGCTGCTGCCTGTGCGTCCGGTCCACTTCCAGCCGGTCGGTCCCCGCCCCGGTGGAAGAACGAATACTCACCCGCCACCCCCTCCCTACTATTCGGGATATTCATCATTAATTGGGCCGAACATCCAGCGAACAGAAAATGCCATTCGGACCAGCCCTAGTTTTTAGTGGCAAAAAAAATAACAAAGGGCAAGCAATAGAAGTTACCAAAAGCATCGATGTTCGTGTTTTTAGGTGCTCTGGAGCTACACCTGGTACAGTACATCATGTGCGTCTTGAACTAAGGCCTTAGCTCAGCAACCCAGGTTGGATTCCAGCCCAGGCCTGCTGCATGTCCTCCTCTATTCTTGCCACTTCTCAGACGTCCTCATCAAACAAAGGCAGAGAATCCCCCCCAAAAAATCTTCAGAAATAGCTTTTTTCAATCATTGCACATAGAAGACGCCTCACTCCAGAGATGTCAATCTGTTGGTCTCTGATGGTCTGTCTGACACCTTTCCAGACGGAAAATCATTGGATAGATGGCATTAATGTTTTAAAAGTTTTTGTTTTTGTACTAATTGGAATGCTGACATGTCAAACTAAGATGATGTGTAAACACAGTGCCTACGAACCATAACCATACTGGCATTGTTGTGTTGGTATGCTTATGTTGGTGTAGAATCGCAGTCATCCAGGTCATGGTATACCAAAGCACTTCACTAGAAGGCAACTGGACTTCTTGTTTTGGTTAAGAAATCATTCCACCTCTCATCCACGAGGCTTCCTCAGTTTAACTGACTGGTGAGGAATCCCAGGTATTTATTCTCACCCCCAAATCGCATGGCCTGTTAACAACTCCAGCCTCATGTGCCTCAATGTGTTAAACTGCCTGGGGAGAGATCTCTGGACTGTGTTATACGTACCTTGTAAATAGTGTCGTAGACCCCCTCTGTTGTTTAAATGTGGCTGTTCCAGTTAGTTTCAATCCTTTCTCAACCTCGTCTCTCTTCTCTGTTCCGAGTGTGTACATTGTTGTCTACAGTTCTGCAGTTTCACCTTGCAGACGCTTTTATCCAAAGCGACGTACATCTGAGATCAGATACAACACAAGCAAGGATCTAGTCAGCAGAAAACAAGCCATAGAACAAGTTCAAGTGTGATAGGGCGTTGATGCCAACAGCAGGCTGTGTGGGAGGTAATAGGACTTTTTTGTTTGTTTGTTTTCAGTCTGTGAAGTGCAAAAGTGTTCAGTGAAGAGCTGGTCTTTAGTCTTTTCTTAAAGACTGAGAAGGAGTCAGCAGATTGAACAGAGTTTGGTAACTTGCTCCACCACCGAGGAACCACAGAGGAGAAGAGTCCAGATATCAACCTCGGGCCCTGTTGAGGTGGTTGGATCAGGCAGTTTTTGTTGGTCGAGCGTAGTGAGCAGAGAGAGTGTAGATCTGAATGAGAGAGTTCAGGTAGGAGGGAGCTGTTCTCATTCTCAGAGTTTTGAAGTTGATGCGGGCAGCAACATAGTGTCACTTAAACGTTGTGTCACTTCTGCTGGGTGATGGTGAATCTTCTCCCGAGGAGTGTTGTGCAATGGGCTTGTAGTCACTTTGTCTCACCGATATATACGTCTGTACATTCCTTGTTGCTTTTGACCGCAGATAAAATGTTGTCCTGTACAAAACTAAAAAGAGGAGTCCGGTTGCCTCGTACTGCAGCACTTACTATTCACATGCTTATGTTAGCGTTTAGCCTGAGCATTGACATCACACCATTCAATTAGCTCTCAGGTCATGGCCTTCAGATTCTGAGAGAGTACTTGATAATCTTCTTGAATGTGCCTGAATGTTTTGTGTACTTGGATACACACGGTTTGCTGTTGGTAGGTTCTGGTTTAAGGTAACAAGCAGATGTATCTCATGTGTGGCCAGGCAGCGTACGTGCGCATTTGCACACAGAGAGTAGACCTTGAAATCACACGGTGTGGACTAATTTCTTCACTAAACAACTGCAGGTTTACAGATGTAGAGACAAACTGTTTGCTAGGATCAGTCAGGTCCACTTCATGTGGTGTTTTTCATATTTTTAATCACAGCACTGAATAAAGAAATAACCAAGAACCCATCATTTTTTTCATATTTACTTTTGATAGGAACTGTTTCCATTTTAAATCCAGCTCAGCCCCTTATTGAATTTGGCCTGATGAATAATCTACAGAAGATCTAACTGGATTCGAACACATTGCAAAGCTACGGAGTCCATTATACTCTGGGAAAGGTTAGCTGGTGAGCAATTGTGGCGTCTGGACCAGTCAGTAGAATATGTCAAATGTGGGCATCTGAAGGATGATCAGACCGAGCATGGTGCATCGAAGCTTCAGTTAAGGCCAGTTTTCAATCTGAATCTGGACTCTGACATAGCTGCTCTGTTTCCTCATGTGTTTATTGTTGTTCTTCTCTGTGGAGCATTTCTATGATCTTTTAATCATCTACATGCAGCTGTTTACAATCATTTCCAAAAAACTGTGCTGCGGTTTGACTGGAACTGATGTCAGACCACCTCGTTTAGGTGATTTTGGAAAAAGCACATTTTGTATTACCAGATTTCTAGGTGAGGGTTAACCGTTCCCTGAGCTGGATTAAACAGCAAAGTCAGGAAAAAGTAGATTTTATGTTGAGGTGGGTTTGTACCAAGTATTTTTTAACTCTGTAACTCAATGACTATCTTACATTCTTACCAGATATATGAATGAGATAATTGCTCACTATTTTCTAATGAGTAATTTGCTAAATCTGGCTGAATCATCAGACTTAAAGAGGGTTAATAAATACAGATTATCATTCACATGAGGTCACTAAATGAAAGATGGTGACTGCTGAGCCTGTGTTTCCTCAGACACCTGGTCTACTGTTTGTTTGACCTTCTGCTGGAGTTCCTGGTTCCTGAAACACCCGAAGAGGACTTCCAGAGAAGCCTACTGCAGAGCCTCTCCAAGAACCCAGAGAAGCTGCTGGCATGAGGAGACAACACCTTCATACCCGCCTTCACTTTGCCATCATCCTAACTGACTTTCCTCCTCTGATGATCAGCTGAAAAGCAGCGTGACACCAAGGCTGCTCCTGTTCTACTAATGTCCTGCAGCGAGAGTGTAAGTGAATGTTTCTGGTCAGGCTGAGTGTTCTCTGTCCCCACTTTAAACTCCTGAGCTCACTCAGCCTCTGTCTCCTATTATGTGTGGATGTAGTGACGTATGGAGCTCTCGAACATGGTGTCCTGTACACACACTCACTCTTAAAAACACACACTACATTTGAAGCAGCTTTGATTACATGAAGGCACCTGGTTTGTGTTTGATCTCACAACATTACTGGTGTGCTGTTCAGATCTAAACATGTGGCAAAGCCTCCTCCGATCTCCGTGTCCAGCCTCTTCCTGCCTGCTAAACTCCCCAGCTTTGGCTAAACTCACTTCAGATGGGTTTCACACTCTGCCCTCATCTCCTTCTACAGTCTCTGAGCAGAAAAACTCACACCTGTTGCTCTAATCTGGAGAAGCAGGATTTGCTTTTTCCCTTCAACTTGAATCTCACAACACTCTGTTGGGATTTAGCATGACTGTTGCTATTCTCAGTTGACCCATTCTTCAATTTCCCACCGGTTCTGTATAGAACCACACATGTGATTCTGACATAATGTGAGATATTCTTCCTAAACCCGAGCCTTCCTTTGGGATCACATGTCTCTGGTAGTGATTTAACCTGGAAGTGTCCAGGTGCAGGAACAGTGCATACTGAAGTGAAGTGTGGCGACGAGCTGGCCAGAAGATATTTTACAGATTTTGCACGTCATACGTCACCGTTCCTTTAACAGGCCCCTCGGAGAATAAACTGCACAGTTAATGTCTAAATAATAGAAGAGCTGGGCTTCACAAAAACGGGTACATGAAGGATGTGGGAGTGGTGTTGGCACAGGTCCATTTAGAAACTGTAAAGCAGTGAGCTGCTGGAGTCTGTACATACTTAAGATCAGTTATAGAGCTTGATAATTGGCTAATTAACCGACAGTCTTAAAGGTTGGTTAAATTACATCGAAGCATACGCTGTTTTCTCACTTTTAAAGCTGTCTATACATGCTGAGGAGCTTCTGAGCTCTCAGTGTCTCCACCGTAACACACAGGATGCTTCCAACACAATGGCGACCAATAGTTTTGAGAAAAATTGTCTTTGTTCTTTTACTTTTTCAGCAAATTGTCACTTTATGTGTTTGCTTTGGTACTAGAACTCGTGACAGTCGATGTGATTTGCAGAGTTGTCTAATGACCAATCATCAGTGTGTACTCGTGTATTTATGAAGACGTCTGTCCAAGTTGGAAGAAAAAATCTTTGTGTCTGTTTAAGCTTGTCTTCAGGCTTGTCCCAATCTTACCACCAGTCTGGTGTACGATTGGCAGCACGCATACATGTACATATTCAGTCTGTGAACGGTGGTAAAAATTCCTGCAAAATAATCCACAAAAAACTAAACTGAGAAAATACATGGACTCAGACGTCCAGGGTTTCATACGCAACAAACCTAAAGAACCAATCCTGTTAACGTGCAGGGTGGGGCCGTCTGTGTCATTATTCTGCTTCAGAGTCACATTTTGATTTCCATACTTCCCACTCTTGGGTTTTCGTTGTGCAACCTGAAAACTGGCATTAAGACAGGTGGGTGGAAACTCATCTAGTGTGTTGAGCCAGTGTACATTCCTTTATCTCAGACACCCACCTTGGCTGCCTGAGGACCACGTAGTCACTGAGTCCTCTCTCACTTTAATCATGTTGTTGAAGGTTTTTGTATGTTCAAAGGCTGCCTTAGGATCTTATTGCCTTCATGGTTTTAACATAACAATCGGCGCTTCTTTCCTTCTTTGATCAAAAGCTCTTGTACCTTCTGAAAATATTCTTACAACACATATCATTATCTGTGTCTCTTTACCAAACCGTAATTTCTTAACACAGATTGTAAAACACTGTTTAGTTAATCTCCAGTTGAAGCAGCTCATTAGAAACTTCAACTGAATCTGCATATTTACTCGAGCCACGTGGAATTCTAAGAAATGTTACAAACATTCCAAGTTAAAAAAAAAACATGAAGTCAGATTTTAATGTTACTATCATTCCAGTGTTTTGCACTTACACTCTGGTTAAGTGGTCTCATTTTTTGAAGTCCTATCTTTCTTTTCCATTGTATTAACTTGTTATTCAGTGTATTTATTAGCCTATTTATTTGCTACAAATCAAATGAATTCCATCCATAAAACAATGAGAGATGTGCCAGCGCTGACAGAGAGGACTGTCCTCCTCTATGAGGTGCTTTTTCCTGGAAGTTTGCCTTACAATGTGACTCGATGAAGTTCTCCAGCGGAGCCGCTGACCATGCCTTAGCACCCGGTTCCAACTCTCTGCACTTAACATGTTTTCTTTCTCTTTGTCAATTTCTGCTGAATGTTGGAGCTGTTACTACGTGTCAGAAGATTTCATTTCTTGCTGATGTTGACGAAGGAATTCCATGTATGTGAAAGAAAAATGACACGGCACGATGATTCCTTGATGGCCATCTGCTGGGTATTGATGCCGCCATGACAGAACGTTCAGCGTGAGCGTCACTGTCTGGTGGAAGCAGAAAAGAAGAAGAAGAATCTGGCCACAAAAGAAGGCTGATTTAAAATGTGTAGCACAAGATGAATAAAATTCATGAAGTATGTGCCCAGCTTTCAGAGCTAGCCCTGCTGGAATGCTGTAGCTGTGGAAGAAGATATGTAAAAAAATTTCATAATAAAATAATTAGTTTGATGTTAACGTTTTCCCCTAAAAATTTAAAATTAACTAACTTTAGACAATCTTAGATGTTGTTCATATCAGTGAGCTTAAACAAGCTTTGCACTTTTAATTGAATAATTTTAAAACTTCTTCTAGCATTAAACAAGTAAACAACAATATTCCAGTTATTTTTTCCACAATTATGTCCTCATCTCGACACATGGAGTGAAATGCAGATAACCGCTCATGATCCAAGCCGTGTTTACAAATCCAATGGGATTTCTTTATGAGCATCGACAAACAAAATACTACAAAAACAGTTGACACCCATAAACAAAGGATTTTTTTTCTTCCTTTTTTGACAATTAAACCAAAGTATCTTGTTACAGTAATTCAGCCACCTTGACTTCGTGTAATCATGTGAAGGATTTGATATGACAAGACGATGATGTAGCATGAAAAGCTTCCCGCGACAACCTGTATTAAGGATCACTGTTACTATGTGTCATAAAAAACATGAAAACTTGGTGTAACATTAAAATGATTTTGGTAAAACAAGTAATAATAATAATAAAAACAATGTAATGAAGTGGTAGCAATGCACTGCTTCTTTAACTGTCATCAGTGGTAGATGTTAGATGTGACATGTAAAAATGAGCTATGCTGTTTGTCTCGGATGCTTTTACGTATTTATGCCAAATGATCTGTAGAAAAGCCACATTTTTATAAACAGTGACAGCATTAACCGAAGCTTTATGTTGTCTCTTCAACAGTGGTCATGTCCGCTGTCAGATATAATCCTGTTCTGTCTTCTCGCATCCTTTCCGCCCTCCTGTCTCCGGTGTTTCTTTCCACTGTGACTTGTGAACACGTGGTTTGCGTTGTGCATGTTAAAACTGTCTTTTAAACATTCACTGCTTTTGCAAAAAAAAAAAAAAAAAAAAA